CTTCATGTAAACTGTTTGGATAACTTTTGGACAGTTTGGATAGCTTTTGGACAGTTTGGACAGTCCTGGAAAAATATTCAAAACAATCTTTTAGTTTATTAAATCCGTCATTTATCAATTGGACAATTTGGACATTGTTGGACTCGTTTTGGACACGATATCTCCTTCCCCAGAATCATCATTGCTCCAGCGTCCTTGATGAAATTATTGAATGATCCCGCTAAAATGGACGATTGTAGGGGGGGGGGGGTATGTGTATGTTACTGGGAATACATTTAGGTATGGATGAATATCATCACATATCCGACCTTACTTGAGTTTTGTATGCGCTTGAACTGCCTATGACAGCACTTACACAAATTTGGACCAATCATAATTCACTAAATACTGATTTTCCATCAGTAGATTTTGTTAGGGGTAGGTGGATCATCCAAGGTTGGAAGGGAACGATAAAGATGTGTATACCAATTCAAAAATAGAGTAACAACATATCACCTGCATATTTGCAATACATCTGACAGAATAGGACTAGAAGAACTCAAGCCAGGAAACACAAGACGCGCGAAGGCAACCGCCATCGCGGTGTTCAAGGCTTATGTTAAAAGTGAGTATGTAGATTTGAATATGTTAGAAGATGCATTGAGAAGGATGATATCGGAAAGTGCATGGTGTCTATCTTAGATATTTTTGGTATGTATTTGGCCTTTAAAGAAGGCAAGAAGGGCAAACAACTTGCCCGCAATACTGCTATGCAGTACTATAGGCAGACTAAGATGTGTTTTTTTTTTCGAGCTCTTCCCCACGCAATGACACATTATTGATGCAAGTTGCTAAGCATGGAGAAGACGTTATAGAATTTTTGCATGAAAAGAGACTAGCAAGACACCATGCTGTAAGGCAGACTTACGTAAGATGATGCTTTATTTATTTAAGAATGCGTCTACAGTGCCCGCCAAATCATTAAGACTCCCGATTTGGCGGGACACTTCTGACAATATCTCGGCTTCTAGCCTGAGTTGGGAACTGCAAGTTTGATATGTTCTCTCTATTAGGCTTACAGAGGTGCCACTTGTGTTAACAACTTAGACAGGGCTGGTATACAAATGCAATGTTTGGGCACCAGCGTCAAATTATTAAGACCACATCCTTTTATGACGAAAATAGCACTTTTATGAACAGACCATACAAACTTCTATATTAAAATAGTGATGGTCAAAATAAGAAGATGGTTGGCGGAAACGAGCGGATAGCTAGAGGCCAAGGAGGCTGTGAGCCTTTCATTTTCAAATGGGCCACGGCAAGGCCCTCTACGAACAAGAGCATTGGTCTTTTTTTTTTACGTTGTATTGCGCTTGATCCGGTTGAGATTTAGTAGCCACACACAAACCCACCGCCACCAGCGTTTTGCGGGTGACCTGACGCGTAGCGCGTACAGCACGTTCAACAGCGCCTTCTGGGTGTTCTTCTTTCGTGGATCGGATTCATACAGTGGGGGAGAGAGAGAGAGTGAGTGAGTGAGAGAGAGAGAAAGACAATTCTAGCGGCTGCCTCGGGCAACCACAGACCTTTGAGCTTCAAGATACCCTCAATAACGCCGACCTCTATGGCCATGAACTCTTTTTTAGTCTCTACCGGCTTCTTGGACTTTCTTGACACCGTGCGGATTCAGGAATCCCTAATTGATTGTTGTAAAACAAGCAGAAAGTTTGAAATGTAATCGATAAACATTTTCTATTATTTTTCTGTTTGTCTGCATCAGCCCTTGATGCGTGTAAGAAGACACTACACCACAAGAATCTTCGAAACAGAAATGTTAAGCGATCGGCATCCACAACATTTGTGGCCAAGCAGACTAGTGAGTAAAGCAACGCTGCATTCAGGACGTTCAACCTCGTATGAGTGATTATCATTTACCTACGCCGTGCGTCGATATGGATAGCTCCCTCAGTCCGGTCTCAAGGGTAGACTGTACTGCACTGCATGTACGCGTTTTATGAGCATGGTCTCGAAAGGAGCTTGCCGACGAGCACAACCACCATTGACAACTGGATTCGGGTCTTTGAATCCACTGGAACTTTTGAGCGTGCTCAGACAAACGGTAGCAAGAAATTCACGGTCGAGCACCGAAAAAGGTTGTGTGAGTTCTACGCAGAGCGCCCACTAGCCTATTTAGACGAAGCCCAAAATGCCTTCCAACGCACACACAAAATTTCAATTTCGAAGTCGTCGGTATGGCGAATCATATACGACTGTGGCCTGATGTGGAAAGTTTTAGAGCGTCGTACAATGCACATTAAAGAGCAGGATGTTTTTAGATTCGTCGAAGAATTGAGCCACATTGACTGGAGTCATCAGAACCTTGTGTTCCTTCAACAACTGAGGAATGATCCGAATGCGAGTTACTCTCTTAAGGGTCAGGAGCTAGCTATTCGGGGCGACTTCAGAGGAAGCCACAGATTTCGGTGTTAGCATTTATTGGAGTGGATGGTCTTATCGACTGTTTCGATACCCAAGGTACGTTCAACCGCATCGAGTTTTTGAAGTCGTTTCAAGACTTTGCATACAGCAATCGCAATTACGTTCGTCAATAACCAGGCTCGAACTCGGTTTGGATTCTTGATGGAGCCTCAATTCACAGACACCCTAAAACCGTTCATTTCCTAACAAGCATCGGCATCGTACCTATTTTCCTGCCTGCTTACTGCCCATTTTTCAATCCTATTGGAGACATGTTTGGGTACGTGAAGAGATTCTTTCAATGGCATTACGACGAAAGTAGCTGGCGGGATTTACTGCCCTTTGCGGTGCAGACATTTCAGCGATTTGAAAAGTTTAAGATGACTAAGGTTTTCCAGCCTTGTGGGTGGAAATTGCAAGGATATTTCGACCCAAGTGGTCCGATGTCGACGGAGAAGCGACAGGTGCCTAAGTTTTGGGGCGATTGTGTGGAACCAAGTGACGACGAAGACGAATTTGGATATTGGGGTGAGCGTGTCCCTGTGTCACCCCTCTTTCCATGACGCGTACGAGAAGCACTTAGGTAGCAGTAAATTGTTAGCAAGAAAACAGTTTTAGAAACCTCGCCGACCATATATTCACGTACAAGTAGCGTTCGTCACAATGACCTTGAAGGTCACCGACGGTCGATTCCGCACTGGGGATTCCGCACATTAGATTCCGCACTGGTAAGACCGCACTGCGGTCTCCGTACTCCGCGCTGCAGCCTCCATATCGTCAGTGAAGATTCGTAAATGCAGTCTCGCGTTTTAGCCAATCACACTGGCCGTTGGATTGTTTACCGAATTACACAATCGGGCACAGCGTCCAAATGTAGCCGGGATTGACAATACTCAGAAGTCAGCACTTGTGCAGATCCTATTTTGTTTACAAGAGTGAACACTG